TGACGAGATATTTTTCAAGATAACTGGCGATGGGACTGAATTGAATTCATGGCTTTTCCAAGGGTATCAGTACAAATTTCGAATTTGATCCACTGATTACTCGCTGCTTGATAGTAATAATAAATAACGATATATGAAATTAAAAATGACTAATAATTTTGTGTCACTAGAAAATAAAGAAAAGGAAATTGAAATAACAAGTAGAACTGGGTTAAATAAGAGATTAAGTCATTATTTATTGATCGTTTGCTATAAACAGATAAAGCCACACAAAATGAATGTCACACATGTTTATCTTCGTATAAAATTCCTATCGTCCAATACTTAAATTTTCTCCGAATTGTTGGCTCAAATTCGTGTCAGTAACAAAATAAAGAATATAATACTAAAAAAAATAAAACAAAGCCTTTGGCGGTGCCGATGATCGGTTTGCAGACACTTTGTAAACAAGTGAAGACGCCGCGTTGTCGCCCGAAATGGGAAGGTTCTGCCATTCCAGATTCGAATCGTGCCGAGAATAATGGCAATCGAAAGAAGTCTTACTCTGTTATGAAAATAAATGCTGGAGATGCAGATTTATTCTCGTATTTATTCTGGTTCTGTCATCGGCTCGTCTGGCATATGTGACTTCATTGCACATAAACAGATAAACAACACTAGTTTTAGTAGCATCGCTTAACAAAATATATTATTCAATGAGTGTCAGTGATCTATATATAAATAAGGATAGTTATGCAATAAAACGTAAATGCATACATTTGTATTACATATGTCGACATGAGAAACGAAACGAGCTAACCGAGTTCGAATTTCAGCTAAGACTGTTTGTATATTATTTAAAATTTTCGGACTATTGTCTTCATCTTTGTCGCCATATTTATTTCAACGTTTCGGCCGTTGTACGCTCCGGGCTTCTTCAGATGGTTGGAATGCCTGAAGAAGGCCGGGGCGTACAACGGCCGAAACGTTGTAATAAATATGGCGACAAAGATAAGGACAATAGTCCGAAAAATGTAAATAATGAACATAATATCTCATCTCAGAAATAGAGACAGATATTGAAGATTGTTTGTGTTCATAATTGGAGAAAGCAGCGAAAGTTAATCCCAGTATTCATTCCTATCACCAACTATTTTGACAAAATTAACTCGTCAGTGGAATGCCATTATGGTTGGGAAGGAGTAAAATTTTTAAATGAAATTATTTCTTCTATCCTATCATAAAAAAATCTAATAATTGGAATTTGGTAGAATTTTAAAATTTTCCCATGTAAATTATTCAATTTTTTTTCAGGAAAACATTTCACATTATCACTTTTCACAAATATCTCCGGTTCTTTAGGGTGTAACCTAATAATTTTATATCAGAATTTTCCCCAATCTGTCTTCTTACAAAAGGCATGACTGTTATAGTGTTTCTTGTTTGTTTGTTTTTTGTTTGTTTTTTTATTTGTTTTTTTTTTTTTTTTTTTTTTTTTTTTTGTTACAGGCGACAATATTGCAGCGAAATTGTAACTCAAAACGAACATCCAGATTCAAATTACCATGCCGAACCATAGAAGCCACTGTGATAAGGGATTTCGGATTACTGAGGTACCTTCTCAAGATGCTAAAATTTCGTGGATGAAGCCTTTTCATTAAAAACGAAGTAGTTTCTTTTTCTAAATTATTATACAAGGAACTACAATTTCATTGAGTTGGTCGTAAAGAACAAATAAAAAGAAAAGAAAATCACTTGTAAGATGGACATTCTCCACCGGGTAATGGACTCTCCCATAACTTCAAAACATGCAATAATCATTATAAAATTTGTTACAACGATTGTTAACAAGTTTTTCAAAATAGACAGTTATCCATTGACTATATATATATATATATATATATATATATATATATATATATATATGTATGTATGTATGTATGTATGTATGTATGTATACAGGTAAAAATCCGTCGTAGGTATGCCAAATGAATCCTTGTAATAACAAATATTAATACTGAAGAGAGTTCAATATATTTTATATAGAGCATATATGAATTACATGTAGATAAAATTCAATACCCCATATGATATATGGCCATTTCGCCCAGAACGGACTTGTTAGCACAAAGGAGTTAGTTTTTTGTTTGTTTTTTATCTAACTCCTTAGTGTTGATAAGCCCGTTCTTGGCGAAATGGCCATATATTATATGGGGTATTGAATTTTATCTACATGTAATTCATATATATATATATATATATATATATATATATATATGTATGTATTTTTTACAGCTAAATTCATCCTTTACAATGTTCGGAGGCCACTCAAGGTAGAGGGTTATATTCGGAGGCTGTTCCATAAGGTAGTGGTTCGCGGGAAGAAGCTGCTCGAGTAGAAATTACTTCTCAACGATGGAATATGGAAGGAATGTGGGTGGTTTTCTACTATGTAAGTGGCTTGGCGTGTTTTTGCTGTGAATGTTTGCTTCGACGGAACCAGGGAATGTACTTCTAACGAGCACTTTCCGTGGAGGTAGCGGTAGAAAAACGATAGGCTTGCCACATTCTGCCAGTGTGAGAGAGGTTGAAGGCTGGAGAATAATTCGTCACCCACAAATGCTGGGAGACGTATTTGAACTCTATAAAGCCTAGAGAGTGAAGTCATGGCAGATCATGCCCAAATATGACAACAATACTCAATTTTGGGCCTGATCTGGCTCTTGTAAAGGTACAGAACAGCAGGAGGAGACAGATACTCATATATATATATATATATATATATATATATATATATATATATATATATATATTGTGCTAGAAAAGAAGTTACAAGTCTTTGTAACAAGAGGGTTTGAGTGTACTAAATTTTTTCGCTTACTAATTACTAATCACACCAGATTATACACTCTCTCCCAGGAACTGTAACTCGTGTCTGCTCAGTCTAATCTAAGCTGGTTGTCCATTGAGTGTTGAATAAATAAAAAAATGGTCGAGCAGGTGCCTGTAACAGGTACTTCATCATCATCATCATCATCATCATCATCATCATCATCATCATTATTCATCATCATTATTCTTCGATCTCCCCATGGTTGGTCGGAACTCCATTGACAATTTCTTTCCACGCTCTTCGGTCCTGTATCGCTGTCTCCAGATCCCCAATGTCCAACCCTGCGTCCCGAGCTATGGTGTCTGGGAAGGTCAATTTTCGTGAGAAGACACTTCCAGAAAGATGCCATAGGAGTAAGAATGAGACAATTTCCCTGTCCGCTTGGTGGCAGTGACAGACAAACTGTAATCGTGTGAATTCCAACAGAGAGTTACTAGCCATCCTAATAGACATGCTGAAACGAACAGTCAGCCATTATATCATTTGTGTATAGGAATAGAAAAAGAAATAGCGGAAAAGCAAGAGAAAGCATATTCCAAATGATGTATTTACTGATTAATCGAGGCAAGTGTTCTAAATCTTTAAAAGGTGAAACGACTGCAGTTTACTTATTTGGGCCAACAAATCGTTTATACGAACCAGAAAAGTAATTTTTTTCTTTTGTTCATTAACTCATTTAAAACGTCTAAACATATGAAACGAAATTCAGTACAAACACGAAAATAGAATGGAGCGATAGACAACGATGTGTTTTCTCAACAGACTTATTCAACTTTCACAGCAAGGTGACCCTGAAAGAACTAGATTTATTATTGGCAGGCACAATCTTAACAAAAGATTTCAGATGGAACAATGCTGATAATAGACGCAGGAAGGAAACTACAGGAACTCCGAGAGAAGTTAGTAAAAGAAAGTTAAAAGAAAGAATAAATACCATTTATAAGAAGACAAAAAAGTGCAACATTCAAATAATCAGACACTAAGGTGAAGATACAGAAATCCAACAAGTAGGAAAATTTAAATATTTCGTAAGTGTTTAAACCGGAGATCGAAAATGTGATACCGAAACCCGAAGGAAATTTTGAATAACAAAAGTTGCCTTCCAAAAGCTAAGCAAAGGAAAATTTCATTACAGACAAGGAAAAAACTACTGAATATATATATATATATATATATATATATATATAGATAGATAGATAGATAGATAGATAGATAGATAGATAGATATTAGTGGTAAATGTACACATACATATGCATATATATTTGTATTAAAAAAGATATTCCAAGAGGATAGAATCCAGGTAGAACTCAATGTCCAGGACAGAGTAAGGATATAATAAAAAATATTAAACACTAATATTCCATGGTCATAACTTATTCCATTGGAATCGTAAAGACGATCCAATTCTTATCAGACCTGTATGATGAATTGATCGTATTTAGGATTCCAATGGAAAAAAATATATCATGGAATATATATTTTTTCTATATATATATATATATATATATATATATATATATATATATATATATATATATATATATATATATGGTCCAAAATTGACATCATTTATAAAGCAATTATTTTGAAAACTATTACGTCTAGCTCAATGAAATTGAAAAGTTTAAGTGTTGCTGATCATTAATTTTATATATATATATATATATATATATATATATATATATATATATATATATATATATATATATATCAATTGTAACAACAAAATTGTCCAATTGTTAGGTTAAGCTTTGAACAATTGTATCTTAGAAATGATTAAAGATATTTTACTGCGATTTTCGAAGGTTTTTAAAACACTATTAGACTCTACTTTGAAGACTAAGAATATATTCAGCTCGACGTTGAAATGATGACCCCCCCTTCCTGTTGTGACCTCCTGATCCAGTTTTCCTCTCTACTGTTCCCTCTTTTTAAAACTTATTCACCATTCTCTTGATGGTTCTTGAATGGAATTTGAAGATGGCAGCCAAAGTATGAATGTTGGTACCATTACTGAAGGCCTTAATGATCTTTTCCCTCTCACCATTGCTCTATTGGGAAGACATAGTGGGGCTTTCCGATTTGCAATTCCGAGCTGATAGCATGACACCAGCTGCACGTCCAATCTTACAGCACCTGGTATTCCAAAGCGGTCACCCATTTAATTACTGACTAGGCTCGTCGTTGTTTAACTTCCGTGATCGTACGAGACAGATAGCGAATATTTAAATTAAATTATTCAGTTTCAGAATAGTTCATAAGGGATCCAGTTTTCTAAATCGATCTTACTACAGATTTGTTCTTAATTCGTAATCTGATGTATTTACTCGATAGTAATATATAAGAAATAACTCCAGATTACGAATTTCATTGTTGTTTTTTTACATTTAAAGAAATCAAAATTGTATATTTGTTTATACCTATCACTCGTATATATATATATATATATATATATATATATATATATATAAGAGGACCAATTTACAGTGTATTTACACTGCAAACTGGGCCCCCTTTATTGACTTTTATATCATTTAATAAATCCAATATTTAGATCTTTCTATATTTCTGAAATTATATTGTAACTATTTACACTATTTTCATTATTCGGACTGGTGTCCTCGCCTTAATTGTCATATTCACGACGCTTCGGTCGTTGTACGTTCAGGTCTTCTTCAGGTGATATCCGTTGGAATTTCGAAACGAATCCTTTATTTAATCCACGGGGTAGATTGTTCTAATTTCACGTGCCATGTCTTTTCTAGATATGCCAGTTTTCAGTTAATTTTTTTTTTTTTTGTCTTTTTCACTGAATTTGCTCCAAGAAAGTCAGTAAAACTAATAAGACACAAGTGGTCACTGGATGTAAAAGAATTAAAAAAAAACCAGAAACATTACTAAGCAGTGAGAGCAACAGAAGAGAAATCAGAAACAGAAAACATAATGACTGACAATGCAATTAATTTTTGAAGATCAAAGTTACTCGGAAAACATGGAGCCGGAACAGAGTTCCACGAGTGAGAAGTGCGAGAAAAGAAACTGTTAACATAGAACTTACCGTTACATCTAGCAAAGTCCTTGTTACCAATCTTGTACTGTGCTTAAAGTCATAAAATCTAGATACCATAGTGAAGAGATTATCCAAATAATTATCATGAAAGTATTAATAGAAAAATCACAGGGAAGCAACTTTACAGCGGTCAGAAAATGGCTGAAGCCAAGATGCCAGGTCAGGACCAATAATATTGCTGATTCTTCTTTGGATTGTATCAAGAATCTCTAAATATATAACAGGAGCACCGAACGATTTGTTGCAGCAATAGTCTAAGCATGGACGAATAGTAGACTTATAGATATATAAGATAGATTCTGGAGATAAAATTAGTCTGGAATGATAAAGTGAATCAACTTTCTTTGCAGCTGATCTACCAATGGATTCAATGTAATCTTTCCACTTCATGTCAGCTGAGAATGTTAGTCCGAGAAGACGCAAGGAATCCCTCTCGTGGAGGTTAGCATCAGCCATACTGATGGAAAGCAGAAAGTGGTCTCTCAGGTGATTAATAGAGAGCAGTTTTGTTTTGGAGGCGTTAAAAATAAATTTCTTTGCACCATTTCGATTTCGGTTACGTGTAAACGTTCCCACGATGGGTAAAGAAAAGAAAGCAGCACATGTCCAATGGTTTCGCTTAATATTCTGCTGAGGGAACAGATACCTGAAGAAAACGGTACCCATTGTGCTAAAGAAACCAAAAACTAAGAAAAGTGTCCGTAAAGAATAAATATTCTGTCTGCAGGAGCTGACTGACTTTTAACTCCAATTCTGTTTCATAATTAAGACGAGTATCTCACAAATTTTGAGGTGACCATCTGTTGACCGAGTAGTGAAATGAAAAAGAAAGTAAACATTATTTCATGTATTTGGTACGGTGTTTTTGTCGTCACACAGGCAATGAATCCTGTTGAGCGTCTGGTTCCTTCCCCTCGGGCTCTTTTCATCTTACCATATAAAATAGACTTTTTTTTTTTTTTGGCCTGACGACAGGTGGTAAGACTATATTTGCCTCCCTCTGAAAATGTCAAGGATAAGGCAGATCTGTCTTATCTGAAAGAGGGGAGTTTATTTAATTTATTTATCTTTTGTCTAGAGTTGGTAAGTTTTTCTTTGGTGAGATGCAGTTGGTTTTGAATTCAGTTAATAATCTGTATATATTGAATTTTTTTTTTTAAGTAAACGAATTTAGTAACTTTTTCCCTTCTTTATTCCCTCAATTCCATCCTTTTCAAAGATCTGAGCTCTGATCAAAAGTAGTTGTTTCGAAATAACTTGCTTTAGTTTACGTTCATCTCGAGGAAGCAAGTTCTTAAAGCCTTGCTTCGAGTTCTCAACTTGATTCTATTTTCAAGACTTTTTTTAGCGTTCGATGACTTCTGCAAAGCTCCTTTGATATCCCCAATGTGAACATACCTTCACTCAATAACTTTGTTATTTTCTGTTTTTCAGCAGTTGTTAGGTCCTTCCCTTTACCCATGTTTCAACATATATTATGGACAAAAAGAAAGAGTTTTTATTAGATTCCAAATGTGTTAACCTAATATTAGTTTAATCTGCATGTTAAATTTAATCAGTCCATTTCGTAAATTCCAAATATCTCAAAAGCTAAATATTAAAAATGTCAGAAAATTTAATTAAATATTTTACTAAGGCTGTA